GGGAACCCCCGGCCCCGGCCGCCATAGCCCCAGAGTCCCTCAGGCGCCCGCGCCCCGCGGGGTCAGCGACAGCGACAAATTAAAGAGAAACGCAGGCGACGGGGCGGAGAGGGGGCGGGGCCGAGCCTAGTCCCACAGCGGCAGGGGGCAGCAGGAAGGGGCGGGGCCGAGGCTCTGCAGAAGGTGGGGCTATGGGAAGGACGCGGGCGTGGCCGAAGTGCGTGACCCTGCCGGGTTGGAGGCCCGGTCCTGGACCTGGGCGGTGGAGATGGAGCCACTGAATGGGCTCCTCTGCGATTCAGCGGCGTACACAGATGCAACGTGCAGTCTCCATTACTCTGTCAAACAGATTACCTCCTTACATAGCTGGGGAATCCAGGCACAGAGGTCCTGTCACCTGACCAGTCATGACAGAGCTGGGATTCAAACCCAGCCAATCTGATGCAGGGATCTAAGAACTGCCACGGCTACCTTTTTAAAGATTAATTTTACTGGTACACTTTTGATACAACGATCACATTCATCATAGGGAATTTTTACCTGTACATGATATATCTTGATTCTTCTTTTCCGCATTCCCCTCCCTCCCTCCAACCCTTTGCCCCCTCCTTATAAGCTTTGTTTCCATTTCCCCTTCTACTCTCTCTTTTTTTCCTTTTTCCCATGGTGCTTTTTGACCTTGATAAAACTTACCTGAGCACTTCGGATGATGAGTTACAGGTAATAAATGCCATAAGAATTCCAAAACAGGAGAGTTTAGGTTAGACTGGAGAGGTTGGAAAGGAAGAGATTCTTCTGGAAAATAAAGGTTGGGTGATGTCAGCAGGTGAAAAGGTAGGGAAGTACCATTCCAGGAGCAGAATCAGTGTGGAAAGAGCTGAGGAAAACAAGCGAGTTAAAGAAACTGGAATCACAAACTGCCCCAGAAGGAGGTTCCACACCCTTTCACATGGGAATTTTAAAACCATTTACTAAATAAATCCTTGTTGAAAGGAGAAACACAACGTGAAAGAAGAGAATTTCTTTAAAATAATGAATAACAATTTTAATTCAAATGACTGGAGACAATGGCAGGATGAACATAAGGAACGTGTGCACTATCTTGGTGTTGGAGGGTGGGTGAGGGGTGGGAGGATTTTGAGCAAATCCTGACTTCTGCAGAAGGTCTGCTTATTGCCAGGTAAGGGAGAAAGTGTTTGGAAAACAATCTTGAAGTGCTGCTGTATGAACGAACAAGAGCAAATGGGTTGACATTGGATCTATGATCCTCACTGTAGAAGAAAGATACAATCGGGCAAAACAAGAAATACTCTGTGGAGAGGGAATAGTTTAGAATTAAAGGGATCAGTATAAAGTCATGATTTATGAAATGCATGTGAATGGGCTTGTTTACATTCACATATTTGTATACGTGTGCATATATATGTGTGTGTTCACATGCATATATTCCCTAGTGCTACACGCTGAGAGGGTTGAGAGCAAAGATCTAGGAGCAAGAAGGACCCTAGCATCACAGTCTGGATCCCTAGTGTCTTTCCTTACTAAAGGAACCAGGACTTGTGGGAGAAAGGGCTATCCCAGGGCTGGAGCACGTGCCAAGACAAGCCTGCCACGGATTGTTTCGCTGGAAATTAAGGAAGGGCTCCCCGTAAATATGATAACATCACAGGACACAGGAGCCACTTTGAAGGTGTTCTCACTGGCCAGGCTGGCACCATTTGAACACTAAAAATAACTATAGAAATAAATTATAACCATCGAAAAACACAGGAGTTCATGAACTGATACCAATAATAGATGGAAAAAGGAGAGAAGCAAGAGCTCAGCTTATCGTTTAATGCCAATGACTAGATGGCAAGTGCAGAGGTTCAGACTAAAGGCCAAATTAGACGAGGATTACCTTGTTCAACCTAGGGGACTGTGTTGAAAAACAGCCAGAAACTTGCATGGTTAAGAAAATATCTGCCTGCAGACTGTAACTTAGCTTCAAGGGAGAAAACAGGCAACACTGTGACCGAGTGATCAAAATTAGTATTGTCTATGAACAACCGGTGGGATCCTGGACCTCCAGATGTGCTATTCATTTACTGTACAGAACTCACACCTAGAATGCATAACCCCAATCTATTCACAAAGAAATTTCATACAAATACAGATGCAGATACTTCAAAAAATAGCTCAGAGGAGAAACCGTATTCTTCAAAAATGTTATGATAAAATACGAAATCTGTAGAAATGTTGCAGATTAAAGATAACAACAAAAGCTAAAGAACCATGACAAGTACAATACTTGATTCTACATTTGATCCTAATGGTGTAAAAAATGCTAGAAAAGGCCTTACTAGATCAGCCGACAAAACTGGAATGTGGATGATTTTTTACGTAAAAGCACCGTGTTGATGTAAAGGGATGATGCTGATAATTGCTCAAAGGCTGTATAAGAAAATAAACTTCATAAAAACAAGCTGAAGAATTTAATCATAATATATGTAACTTCTTCCCAAATGGTTCAGGAAAAAAGCTGTAGAGGAAAAGAGAATAAATGTTAAAGCAATGACTAAAATGCTAGCTTCGAATGTAGGCTTTCAAAAATACCTATCAGATTATGTTGTTCCCCAGGGCAAAGCCTTCAGGAGCTTTCTACACCAAATGGACTACAATCTCACTTTCTTGTCAGGACCTGCCAGGCCAGCAGGACTGAGCTCCTGCTGGTCTAATATTACCTCACAACCTCCACACCCTGAGACCCTTGTGCTCGTTCATGGAGCTCTCAGATCCTCCAGTACGCGCTCCTCTTTCCTGCCTCTGGGATTTTACACGCTCTGAGTCCCTACTTAGTATCTTCTGTCCGTTTCTTTTCATCCCAGATGTCTTAGTTTTTGTGCCCCCTCTGCTCTCTGTATGAGCCAGCCTTGCCCCCAGTCTCTCTCAGGATCTTTTCCACCTATACTGTAATTGTTTTATATATTTGCCCACTTAATTAGTTTTTTTCTACCCCTTACCTGCACCTTTTCTCTGAAGTAGGAAGGTTGATCATGTACCCAGCACAAAATGGGGAGTCAAATAAATACCAGAGTAGATATGACTACAAAAATAAGTAATAAGAATAAGCAAGTAAACAAATAAATAAAGCACAGAGGCAGTTAAAAGGTCAGTAATTGCCAGGGGCTTGAGAAAGGAAGAGTGAATGGAGAGAGTACAGAGGACTTTTAGGGTGGTGAAACTAGTCTGATACTAATGGTGGATATGTGACCCTATACATTTTCAAACCCAGAGAATGTACGATACCAAGAGTGAACGCTAATGCAGCCCAGGGATTCCGGCTGACAATGGTGTAGCAATGTTAGATCCACCACTGTAACAGACCACTTTGGCGAGGGATGGGATCATAGGGGAGGTTGTGCATTTGCAGGGCAGGGGTCTATGGGAAATCTTCTCCTCAACTTAGCTGCAGGCCTAAAATTTAGAATTTTTTTAAAGAAAAAAAAAATGGCCTAAAAGACCACAAAATACCACAAGATGGCGTTCTTTCTCTCAGAAGTTTCCACGAGGGACCGATTTAGGGAAGTCGGTAGCGCTAAGGTGCAGCAGAGTCTGGCTGCCTCTGCCCTAGGTCTTCATGGAGCTCAGAGGGCTTCATGGTGTTTCACAGCCCAGCCCCATCGCGGAGCTCCAGTAGGGGTCTGCAAATGAAGGTGTCATCGTTATACAGGCATGGCAGGGCCCACAGCTCAGCTCAGCACCCACGGAAAGAGTTCATTACTCGCTTCTCACCAGGAGGGAGTGGCGGTTGCTCAGGAAGCAGGGGCTCGAGAAGGAAGTGTGGACAGGAGCTTTTTTGTTGTTTCTGTGGAAAGGGGCAGGTGAAGCAGGGTAAGTGGGTTAATGAGGACCGGCCTGTTTGAGTAATTTCAGTCAGTAAACTCTGGGCATAGGCGCTGTCTCCCCTGACCTGGTGCTGGGCCCTGGGATCACAGGTGTAGGTGGGCAGTGGCCCAAAACCTGTGCCTAATCAAGGAGATGGTTGGGGTGTCCCTTTGGATCGGCTGGTTTGCATAGGAAAAGCAAGTTTTCCAGAGAATTCTTTACTCTCTCCAGGGATTGGCTAGCTCTGGGAAGGGCAGTCTCTGGGGTCAGCGAGGCTCCAAAAATATCAAAGCATCAGAACCACATGGTTAATACAGTGGAGTGGAGTGACATCAAGTTATTTTCCAGAGTTATTTCACACACAAGATCAGAAGCAAAACCGGGAAAAAAATCTTTTCTTGTAGTTGCTACCAGATCACTAACAGGTGTTTCGATTTGAAAACACAAAAGCTATTGAAAAAAATCTACTTTCTTTTATCATCCAAACTGGCAAGAGTATTACAATAGTTACAGATTTGTCACCAGTTTCATAACTAGAAAAAAGGCAGAAACACTGGCGATCCTTTACATCACTACTTATTGCCTGCTTGAGGTGACTTTTGGAGAGAAGACG